AAATCCTTATCATTATCATAATATGCCTGGGTTACCAATTTTCAAATATATATATATATATATATATATATTAATGATAATGATTCTCTATATTCTTATATATAGGATAATGATAATGATATGATTTTTTTTTTTTTTTTTTTTTTTGATTTTTTTTTTACAGAGAATCCTTATCATTATCAAAATATGCCTGGGTTACCAATTTTCAAATATATATATATATATAAAGAACGAACGTCTTACAAAAAAAACGTCTCACAAAGAGACGTTCACCGCATTCGCTTTATGCATTGCTCACCTATATAGGTTTGAGCGCTCTGGTGACTCTACAATACAATCCATACAATGTGTAACCGTACGTCCTGTGTCCCAAGTGCAGGAATCACCATTGCACTTTGGTGATAGCCGGGAGGGCACATTGTTTATACTAATATATATATATATATATATATATAAATAAAAGATAAAAGTTTCTCCGGATTTAAAGTGAGTTTTATTGAGCTTTCGACTCGTTGCTTCGAGCCTTCATCAGAATGAAAAATATTTATTTACACGTGCTTTTAGCTTGGAGACGTTTAGAGCGTCTAATTGGAGGAGTGGGTGGATTAATGTGATTGGATGGGGTGAAATGCGTTGCCATGGGTTTTGGTGTATTGTGAATATGATTGGTGTTAATAATATTAGAGTGTAGTGTTTTAGTTTTGGTGTTGTTTGTAGTTTTTATGTCCTTTTCCTTTAGTTGTGAGTATATGATGGGTATGTCGATATGTCTGTTTATTGTGTCGTTGTCTTTACTGTACCAAGCTTCCTTAAATTCGCGTGCGTGTTTAGTCTGTGCGCGTCCGAGTACTTTAGTTTCTGTCCAGTCGAATGTGTGGTTGTTTCCGTGGGTATGTTCTGCCGGTAGTGAGTTCGGATCTCGTCGTTTTATGCGTTTTTGTGTTCTGTGAGTCTTGTTCCAATTTTCTTAGATGTTTGTCCTATGTATTGCTTTGAACAGTCGTTACATGGTATCATGTAGATCGCGTCAGTTGTATCATGAATTGTTGTTTTGTCTTTATGTTTGGTGAAACATGATTTCAGTATTTGTGTAGATTTGTGGGCGACGTTAATATTAAATGGTCGAAGAAGTCTGGCAGTCATTTCTGATGTTCCGTTTATGTATGGTAATGTGACGATTTTTACTGTTTCGTCCGGTTTTTTGTTGCTTTTGTCGGTTTGTGTTTTGTTTTGTATTTTGTATATAGTTTTGTCTATGAAGTTTCTAGGTTAATTGTTTTTAATAAATGTGGAGTATAAGTAGATGCGTTCTGTTTTTTTTGCTTCTTCCGTATTACAATGAGTGTTTATCCTGTTGAAAAGTGTTCGAATGCAGCTTATTTTGTGTTGTGTTGGATGATTGCTGTTGAAATTGAGTATTTGGTCTGACATCCTAGACTTACTCAACCTTTGCCTCTCCACTGAATTCACCTTCCAAAACACATACTACATACAAATTTCAGGCACACCAATGGGATCACCACTATCCACATTCCTCGCAGAAGCTGTCATGCAACACCTCGAAACACAATCAGTCACAAAAAACACAAACATCAGACTATGGAAAAGATATGTCGACGACATCTTTGCCATAGTCAAGAAAGACAAAACTGAACAAATCCTACACACCATAAACAATACCACAAAGAACATTACCTTTACTAAAGACGAAGAACACGACAAACAACTTAATTTCCTCGACATCCTACTAACCAGAACAGATGACGGTACACTAAACACACAAGTATACCGCAAAACCACCCACACAGACCAAATACTCAATTTCAACAGCAATCATCCAACACAACACAAAATAAGCTGCATTCGAACACTTTTCAACAGGATAAACACTCATTGTAATACGGAAGAAGCAAAAAAAAACAGAACGCAACTACTTATACTCCACATTTATTAAAAACAATTACCCTAGAAACTTCATAAACAAAACTATATACAAAATACAAAACAAAACACAAACCGACAAAAGCAACAAAAAACCGGACGAAACAGTAAAAATCGATACGCTTTTATCGATACGAAACGCATCAAATGAAAAATTATTTGGTTGAAGCCAGACTTTGCTTTCTTTTCTTTAGACGGAGGACCACGTTGGACTGGATAGCAAAAACAAGCTTTTTAAATACATTTGACTTGCATCGCTTGATTGCGTTCGTTGTCGTTTCTTAAGGGTTGTTGACGGTGTCTTCTCTCAGGACGTCGACAAAGATTCACGATTCCTTGTCATAAGTTTGTACGTACAAACAAACTTGAATTAGCTTGGTGATGAAATTAAACGAATTTTTAAAACAAATAGTTTGCCTGCATGGTATTTGGCTAACAGTATTGTCAACAAGCTCTTACGAACACCATCTGCATGCACTGATTGAAAGAGAGTGCTTATTTGCTCCGTGGTTTGTGAGAAAGTTAGTGCAGTACACTTTAATACCAACGAAGATGCGTAGAAAAACGCTACAACAACAAATGTAATTTTAATGGTAATTTTAATGTACTATTTATTAGCTGGCTCGAATGAAAATCTTTACAATTTGTAAACTAGTGAGATCTATATAGTGTTTGCTTAATAATGTATCATAAGTAAAGTATCCTCTAAAACAACGTCCACCATCAAACTGTCCTTTCCTGTTCTTTCTTCGTACACGAAGAAATTAAATCATTCACAAGTACAAAAGCATTTTAAAAATCGCATGGATTACGTTGACAAATGTAGTGGAAGGAACGATAGCATGGCTCATCATTCCATTTGCCTTTCGGAAAAAATTGGACGCAATTCTCTCTGTATCCAAGATTATTAGGTTCTCCGCGATACCAATTAACAAACGCAGGTAGGGCATGTTGCATTGTATAAAATTGCTTGTTGTATTTATTACGAAACAAACCAATAAATGGTCTTTGCAGATTTTTTCTTTTGGCAACCCTGTAAATGACGTTATTCTCAACCAAGTTCTTTGGAAGAGCAAGATATCCTCCCATGCGTTGACATTCAAGAATGGCTTTGCTTCCTGTTGTCTTGGTTGTACTGAAGTAGTAGCAAGATTGACGAAGATAAGTCCAACCATATGGACATCTACTTGCTTCGTTTACTAAAACGAGTTAATATAATTACACAAAGGTCAATAAGCACAAAAAAATGTTAGCGATTGAAGAAAAAAATAGTGTAGCAACTAATACCTTGAAAATTATTCACGACAATGCATAGAAGAAACAGTAACTTAAACATTTTCGACTTTAGACACAGCAGTGAAATCTTTTGTGTGAAGACTTAAATCACCAAACACCTACCAAGACCAGCGAATGTTTGAGTAATCATTGAGAGATATTATATATAAGTATTGAGAAGCTAAGTCAGAGCTCCTTGCTGAAACAGACACGTAAACTTCCACATGAATACAATACAATACAAAACAAGTCAATAAAAGCAGTATTCTTATCATCACTTACCGAAGTAACTATATCGAGTAAATGATTTTTGCACATTTTTTATAAACGGAGGACTGTAGCTTTCATATGTTTACGTATTCAGTAATGCTATTATGTTGATAATAAAATTTATGATTTAAAGCAATTGTGATTGTGACTCTAATTTACATTTATTCATTTGTCTTTTGCTGTTTTGCAATGAAGAGCTTTTCTTATAGGATTCGAAATTTAAAAGACTATCCAGCTTTTGCACTGTGAGGTCATGTTATTTTTGAGTACTCGATTTATCGGCATGAAAGACTGTAAATTTGACATGAAATTACAAAACAAGATTTGTTATAAACTATGCACTAGGAACTGTAAACAGAATCACAAAGATTCTTTATTAGACATTTATATACAGGCAGAGATCAACTTGATTTCACCACGTCTTTGTCATAAGCCACACTGAGCCATCGAAGAAAGCGAGTGTTGGAAACTTGTTACTATAATATGTTTCGTCTTTACTATAATATGTTGTTAATGCCATAGTATCTAGTTAAATATCGATATAATAGGTGTGATGGCGATGTCCATAGAATTATGCAAGTAATAATTGGCAGAAAACAATGGATTTCGAAGGAGCTTAATCCTGTATAAAGCTTGACTACATAAATATCGCCCAACTGGCAAAAATTACATGACTTGGCTACACAACTTGTTTTGAGCCATGAACAACAAAAAGCAAAAAACCTTTAAAGTCAAAGATGATTTTTCATTATAAATATTAAAGCCAAGCAAAGTGCGTTTAAAAAAGCCATTCAATACAAAAATATTAAATAAAAAAGGAATATTTATTCAATGGCCTAACGTTTCATCTTGACTCTCAAGACATCATCAGACAGTATTAAATGGCAAGTGAAGACTGTGATATGGTGTGTATGTATATACATATATATGTGATAATGATAAGGATTCTCTGGATTTTTTTATTTCTTTTACATATATATGTATATAAGTCAGGGAGGAAAATTGTTGTAAACGAAGATAAATTCTAACCTTCGTATCTCAGTCAATCAAAAGTTCATATTCAGTTTATTTTACATTCCTTATTGAGACAAAATATTACTGCATGATACATTATCTTATAATACGTCATGTTACAAAAATTTTCTTGATCATCCATTAGTTGACATGCACATGCGAAACAACACTTGTAATGAACAGTAGGACTTATTCTATATTCATAGATAGTCTTATTAAGCAAAGGACGACAATGAGAAAAACACAGGATTCTTTATTTGACGTTCAATTACAGAACATTTGCAATTCATTTTGCCACGTCGTGACATACATACTGCAGAGGACAATAAACGTTAGACAATAACTCTGCTGAAACAAACACTAACACCTTACTAAAACACAATAATTGCATTGAAAATGAAACGACACAACTAAGAGATAATGAAACCTGTTGATTTATCTTTCATTGTAGAAGTATATAGTAAATATCTTATTTTAATAACGGCAGTCAACAACATTAATTTATTTTCTATTTTGAAATCTGTGTTTTTAGTGCTAACTGTAAATCACTTTCAATAATTACTGATTTGACTAGCCAGTGGTTATATTTTTGTCAATGACTGTGTTTTGTTAGTAATTGTCCTTGTATTTCTTTGATATTTCAATCAAATTCCGCCACGTCGTAGTCATGATGCAATCGAAGAAAGTGAGTGTTGGAAACTCAACTCTGATATTTTTAGTCAGGGTGAGTATTTTAGTGTTTCACACAACCTATTTATTTCTTTTGTAATCAGTTCAAGGCTTCAGCCAGACCTTCGAAAGCTTGTTTGACAATCAATGAATGTTTGACCGCATTATCTATAAATATGATATCGGATGACGCATTTTTTCCTAAAAAATGTTAAATAGTTTGCTATCATGGCCAATTTGATTTATACAGGCATGTGTGTATTTACATATCGATGACTGATTTTTATCTGTTGGTAATTATAGTAACATCCATCTCAAACACTTCAATTTCGGTCCCGGTCGTATTTTAGTGAATTGAAATTGAAAAAATCCAGTTTATTTATTTCACATGCCATGTTGAGACTTAAGAGGAAGTTACCTTTAGCTAAAATTTACGTACATGCTATTAATCATTGGTTATGTTATTTTTGATTACTTGATCGTTCCTTTGATGGCGACAAGCAATGAGATGGGGAGTAACAAAAAGAATAACAAGGATTCTTTGTTTGATGTTTAATTACAGATTGGCCACGTCGTAACCCACTTGTAGTCCCCAAACATATAGGCCATGGACCTACTTCGAAAATTGTGATTTTTCATGCGTCTATCGAGGAAGCAAAGAGTTTTCTAACCATCATTGATCTTGCTGCTGTAGTAGTACTTATATATATATATATATATATCAACTTTAGTATGTATGTCAATCGTATAACTTAATATTGCAAATTAATAAGAAAATCGATTATTTTATCTTGAGTGAATGGTCAGAGAAGGGTGAAATCAATATATCGTTTTTACGTCTTAGCCAATCAAAGCAAAGAGAGTCTTGCTCTCAACCAGTTATGTAGCGTCTGGGTGAAAGGTCTTTCACTACACTTGGTACACAATGGCGAACAAGAAGGCTTGCTGAAGTTGCTCACTCGGATGACGAGTTTATTGCGTTACGCATATCAAAAATACTGCTAACTCAAAATTAACATCATTTGCACTTGCTTGTTGGTGTATATTTACTTTTTTTACTGATAAATGAGGAAAACCTTCATGTTAGAAGGCGAAATGGCGCAGGAATCTGCTTTAAATTCCGGGGTTAATTGACCACCTTTACGTTGACAATTTGTCTTTCGCTGAGAATGTTCGCTCTTCAGAGTGTTTTGTACCCATACCAGCGCTCTTCAAATTCCATTGCAATTGTTAAAGTCGGTTTTTCACTGTCCAAATGCTGCAAAGAAGACAGAACAGACAAATAAGAATAAGAGAAAGAAAAACAAAACAATCAACTTGAGGACTTTTCAGTTTTGGCGACTTGTAATTCAGTATATGTGAGATTATTTGGTACCAGTTAAATTTCAAAGATACATATCTTTTCACTTTGAATTTATTGCTTGAAATTTACTTCAAATACTACTCAGAATAGTTGTGATTCTACGTTGCGTTTTTTGTTTCAATAAGATAAGAAATGCACACAAATCGTGTGAATTATTTTACAATGTTGCTTCAAATTAACTAGAGCAATTTGTCATTTCAATATTAAACTATAATTTTTATAGATGGTATCTGAGATGTCGTGTTTGCTTTCTTATGTTCGGCCACTTGCTGAGCTTTGAGTCCTTTTTTTGAAATTTTGAACCTTGCTGTTTATTAACCTTTTTATATTGTAATTGGGCTGACATGTTCAACATTTGCAGCTGTTTCCTGTGCACACGACATCTTTGTTCTAGTTTTGAAATATAGCTAGTTGAGCGTTGTACTTCTGCTTTTTTAGTATACTGTACATACAGTATGACAAAGCTCCAAATCTGTACTATGAGTACAGATTATCTGCATTATGCATTATTATGAGTATCTGCATTATGAGTACAGGAAACTTGCTACTATAATATGTTAGTCTTTACTATAATATGTTTTGTTTTGTTTACCTGTGGTCTTTTTAAAACAAACAATTTAATTTCAATATAAATTTTCACTACAACTACAACTAAGCAAAATCAAAATAATAAAGAGATTATGAAAGCTATATCTTCCATTGCAGATATTGTAAATATCGTTTTTTCACGTAATTCCTTCGTGCTTTTTAAAACGTTGTTGTTGTGTAAAATTGTTAAACAGATTACACACACTCATTGTATATTTAATTTACATAATTATGTATTTAGATATTAGACAATGAATTTGCTTTGTTTGTAAATAGATAAACAAATTTCTAGCATTTTTTTCTGTCGTATTTTAATCAATCGAACATAAAAATCCAGGGTAAGAAGTTACATGAATATACGAATATTGCACATCACCTCTCCGAACTATCATGCTGCTAGGCTATGCACAACGAAACTTGGTTGAAACTTTTAAAGTTAACTTTGAGCTGAAGATGACTTTGTTGAAAATGAAAAACAATTTTTTATTTAAACTACAGTTTTTTTCGTGTAAACTACAAGCAAAAGCAATATAAATTTTAACGTCATATTTCTTAAATGTTCATGCTTGCAGCTTTCACTCTTTGTAAATTTTTTTTTACAACATATCAATGTTTTTGAACTTTTTACGAGTAATAGGTTACTCGTGTTTACTTCAAATCACTTTCTCTTTAGTGGTAAGCTCACGAAGTAACAGTTTCACGACAGGATAGAATTGTATGCTGTAGACTAACTCCACTGTGCATCTTGGTGCTGTATATATAAATAGATTACTGGCTTCGGCTAGTCATCTTTGCCTTCCTATTAGCCAAAAAAAGCAATTGATTGGCTGCCACTATGCTAGTCCCACTCATAATAAGATATGTGCTGTACAAAAGAATTCTATAGAGTGAGATTACTGTTTGTTTCTATTCTGTGGTTTTACTCTGCTGCACACAATTCAAATAAAAGTAATCGCAAAAGTCGATCGCACCACAGTTTGCAATGAATGAAAATCAGCCTTTAAAGTGCATATAAACATTTCTTTGTTGTTACACTATCCAATGTACGTGGTGTAAAAAGCCTTATTCCAAAATTTTGATGTAATCGGACAAATATTTTGCGTCTATCAAAGTTGCAAAAATATACCAATTCAAGTGCTCGGTTTTAACGCTGAAGGACTGAGCCTGGAGTCGGGTGACGTCATGTAAGGAATCGCTTCCTGAACAATATAGTAATTTAAGAAGATATTTCTTTACTATTGTCACATCAAGCCAAATGCCCATGTACTCCCAAGGCAATGTACCAAGGACAGACACCTGTAAAACACGGTGAAGGCAATTTCAGATATGGTAGAGCACCTTGTGCCCAGGCCCTTCTTTTCGTGACACGCACGTGAGTAAATGATATTCTCCTTATCATGATAACATTCCTATTTCTTACGTGCTTGCAACTTGCCATGGCGTTTTATACTTTTTATGGCTTTACAGAAGATAGTGGGATAGTGAAATATCTTAAATAATAGCGGGTTTTATTCAAACATCATTTCAAAGATAAAGATGACTAAGGTGACTAGGTGAGCAAGTATTGTATACTTTTAATTTATTTACCGATATTTTGTAATTTGTAGTGCTGTACTTGCACTGTGCGAATTATTGCAGCGACGGTTTTTAGCACATTTCTATCAACGATAAATGGTAGTAAATACTCAATTTTCAATTGTGTTATGTTAGTATTCAAATTCAAACATTCTTGATGATGATATTTTCGCCCGAATCATTACACAAGAAGTAATTACAGGGCAAATGCAACAGTTAAAATATAAGACAACAAATACTGCACTGGAAACGTGTAAAGCACAAGCTAAGTTTGTTATTATATAGGCTATACATTGGTTTAGGTGTTGAAGCAATCGCCATATTACTTGGAGTATGCTATACATATGTATATGATACACAAACTAGTATTACTAATTACATAGGCAATGGGTGATGATTGATTTTGGTGGATGTATTTACACATGCCCATCCTTTAGACTGTTTTATGGGAATGGTTGTTGTGTGTTAACTTTACCTAGACAATCATTACCCTATTAGTAATTTTGTGTCAAAACATCAAAATTGACATGAGGGCCGCTTGGGGCATATAATTTTTACTCTCTATTTGCATGTTTTCTCCATTTCCAATCACCTGTCATTTATTTTAGGAAGAGTCCTTTCAGTTTATGGTGGGCAATAAAAGTGAGGATTCCTTGTTGTAGGATGATTTTCAGAGTCAATACATAATATGTGGTAGGATTGACAGCACCGTATACATTTTAAGTTTTCTTCAAAAACAGGTGCTCCACATAGTGGGCATTTGGAAAGTTCTGGCTGTTGTGAGTGTTGTTTTAGACAAGTTCCTCTTATTTTGTTGTAAATTCTAACCCTCATCTTATATGGATCACAGCCATCACTCATTGACTTTCCTTGCACAAACTGTGATGCATACCAGCAAACAAAAACACCACAACTTGAAGTATCTTGTTGAAGAGTATGCGGCGGTGAGGAGATCTGAAATTCTGACAGACCAAATTTGTTTTCAATAATTAAAGGGATGAATTTTGCTATAATCTGCATCTGTGCCTTGTTTTAATATCATCAGCTGCATTCAATGGATCAACATAAAAAATATTTCTCTGTTGCAGATCTATGGCAATCAATGTCCAGTGACAGTGAGTTGGGTTCCAAGGTGCTATAATGAGATTTTTTTCATTGCTCTTTTCAGACCAAAGTCTTCCTCCCTGACCACCATTTTGCAAGGAAAGCATTGATGTGGATGCTGCATAAAGAACATGTTCATGATCTTCCTGTAGACACCAGAAAAATGAATTGATTACTTCATCATACAACCAGCCAGGTATGAAAGGTTTTTCACTCATGCTACTAAGTAAAATCTGTGTTTCTCTGTGCAAAAATGGCTCTAATGATTTAATTTCTAGCAGAGATACAGAATGTGGTCCATTCCTTAATAGTTTTGCGGTGATTGATGAAGATTCTGTAATGAGAGGTGTGAAACCTGTGTGAGGAGTTGGCATGAAAGGAATTGTTTGTGTATCTTTGCTGGATGATTGCGTTTCCATTTTCTCTAGAGATAAGTCTTTATTATAGAATTTTCTCATCATTGCAGCATGTTGGCCAACTCTTCTATTGTATGGGTGTATCTTCTTTAATTTTGCAGATGGTAGATTAGATAATCTGGCTTTCTTTTTAGGATTGCTGGTTGTTGACTTGCTGATATTTGATGTTCTTTTTTTACGTTTCATTGACGTTTTCCCGGCGTCAGGAGCTGTAAGTGCTAGTCCTGAATCAGTATTGCTGTTATTCTCAAATTCCTGAAGTGCAGACTGAAGACTCTTTTCCAGGCTGGCTAGTGAAGTTGAATTAGTACACTCGTGGACCAAACTCTTTATTCTAGATAACAGATCACAACACCTAGTAATAGCTGTCCGTTTTGGGAACACTGGTTTAGGTAGAACAGCTGTCATAGTTTGTTTTATGTCAGCTTCTTCTGTTTCTTTTTCTTGGTCATGAAAACTTTCTGCACCACAAACTTGCTGAGCATCGTCAACTCTTTTCAAAATATGATCAATTGGTTTGAACAATATATCGACATCTAAGGTCAGAAATGGAGAATCTTTATATGCTGTTGGTAGGTTTTTCCATCCCCAACTTGTAAATTTTTTATTTTGAATAATCGCTAATAAGTGCTTGCATGGTAAATAGTTTCGTTGCCAGTCAAGACACTCGCAGCAAGGTATTTCTGTGTCATGAGGTGCCCTAAAATATACATGATAGTTGTGCTTTCCCATTTCACTGGTTACTAAAAATGCACCCATAGAGTCATCCACCAAAGCGATTGAACGTACATCTTCAGCATAAACAAGACGTTTCATGCAATGGTCGATAAGGTAGTTAGGACGATTATGCAGAAATTCTGGAATCTGTTTGTTATAACGCTTATATGCTGTGGAGCATTTTGTATTTTCGTTGATGTAGCTGAAATAAAAATATAATACACAACTTTTGGTGCAAGCACACAAAATTTAATACAAAATTTTGGTTTTAAAACCAGTATGCATGAGATTCATGCAACTTCACTTTACGGTTTACTCTCGGCATTAATATAAATAATATACGTAAGCTAGCCAGGATCTGCCTCTCATTCAGAAAGAAAAACTGTGTCGCTTTAGATCATCTATTAATTGAATGCCAGACTTACCTTTCGTATTTGTCAGGAAGAAATTCATTTACAAGAATTGTTAACATTGCGCTGAGAGAATACTTTCGTAAAGTCAGTAAATACTGGTGTTTGAAAGCCCCATTTTGTCTTTCCAACCCATTGTTTGTGCTAACATAAACAAGCAGACGCTCTTTTCTGAATGCCCATACCCATCTCTGTAAAGTTAAATATCAATAAAGTATAAAAATGGTTGTAGGTTTTACTTGTATTGACCTGACGAAGAAGGAAAGTACAATGAAACGTACTTTTCCACGTTTTTCGTGTAAACGCTTGTGGTAGTTATTTGTGCAGTACATTTTGCGGCCGTGCAATTGCTAAGTCTGTATTCTTTTTTTTACCTTTTTGTGTCTTATCCACGTGTTTTCCAGCCACCTTTTAAAGCTGTTATTGGTCTTCCACTCGCTAGTGTCTTTAACTTTTTGCAGGGCATTTTCGTATGCATCCTCAGTTCTTGCCCGTGCCAATTGTCTCATCAAAGCCAATATAAATTCACGGTTGTCTGCGATTCCATTATCTTTTTTAGATGTCCAACGTTCCCATGCTTGCTCTCGATGAAAATCGCAAAGCAGCACTTTGCAGTCTGAAAATATACCCACATGTTACACTCCATGATGAATTGCAGAGCTACGTAGCCATGGTATATAGAACTTTTTAAAAGGATGTTTAACTTTGTCAACACGATTACATATATATCGTAAAATAAAAATAATCTGCATGTAGAAATTGATCAACCCTTTCTTCCCTTCCCATGTCCAAAGTTTTCTAATATTATTATTATATTTGATTAGCGATGGAAGAAATATAACTTGTGAATTGCTGTTCATTGCTTTTATTATTTAGGTGTTACATGGTTGATTTAGTGCAATAAAGAATGCCAGATGTTTTGGTCAAAACCTCTTGCAGCTCGTGCCTCATACCTGGAAAAACAAACTCAATTGATTTTATTTCTTCTTCACAAAGATCGGTCATCATATGCTGTGGGTTCCATCGTGGATTCCATTGATGTAAAATACTGAGAGCTTCTGTTATACTAGCTGTTGTTTCATCTTGTATTACAAAGGATGAAACGATAGCATAATCAACATTAGTCTTCACAGCAACAAAAAATAATGGCAAGGAATACTTTGTGGTTTTGTATGTGGCATCTAGGAAAGCTAGTTCCTGACCATAACGACAAAGTAACCTTGATTGCCAAGCCGTTTGGTGTATAAACAAAAGTCGCCCTTTTTGCTCCTTTGCAGTCGTCATAACCTCTTCATTTAAACTTATGTCGTCATCGCTGTCTTCTTCATTTTGTAAGTCTGTATTTTGAATTCACCGCTTCCTTCAACGTATGGACGGAAATAAAATCTATCGTTGCTCGAAGCCTTTTCGCATTTCCATTTTTCAACCAGTCGAGTGACGTTGTCTTGGTCCATAAATGAAAGCCTGGCTCTCATTGCCGCGTTGTACATGTGATTTTTTATTGTTTTAGCTCTGGGAAAGTATCGTCGATTGTCACGCAGAGGTTGTTCTTTTCCTCGAAAAAGCTCATCCTGTATGTATATTTTCAAATGACGTTTCATCTCATGAACAGTTCGCACTCCTTCACTGACAAGTTCTTCTATCTTTCTAATAACCTTTTCATCTAGTCGTTGTGTCATTCCGCTGTGCTGAAATAGCAAAAGGCAAAACTAGTTAGTGTCATGAATTTTATCATGCAGATGCCACAAATGATTGTGATGTTCTTGTCTACAGATTGCAAGACGAGCATGTCAAACAAGAGCATATACCATTCCAAGTCTGTGCGTGGTGTGATCTTCTGGCCGCGGAAATGAAATATAGATTCTGCGTTCAGTTTTTACTGAGGAGCTGGGGTTTATTAAATGGGCTCGCAAATCAGCAGAGGTCGTGTCACGTTTCTTCTTTTTAGCGTCATGTGGCACCTAAAAATATTGCACTCTAATCTTTTAGAAAAAAACCAATTTAACATGTGTATACTTGTCGATTTACTATGAACAAAAATAAAGCCACAGTATAAGCAATTTTCTTTTTTATTAGTAATATACCTTGTATTCTGGAAACTTTATTACTTCTTTCATTTGTATGATGGCTGTGCAATCAAGTTTTTTACTATCTTGCTTCCAGAAACGTCTCTGTTTTATAGTATGATCTCCACGGTCGCCCTGTAATATGAGTAAAACTTTAATTTTAAGTCCAATTTACTTTCATTACCTAAAGAATTTATGAAGAGTAGTGGTGTCATCTAGAATAATTACCATGAGATTTGATTCATGTTTTTTTTTCTGATAAACGTTTCTGTCTACACCGTGTTGGCATTCCAAGACATTCGTTCCAACCAAATAGAACGGTACTCCATCAAAGGGATGGGCTTTTCAGTACCGGATTTAGATTCCCACCAAATACGGTGTGGTTTTAGGTCATTTTGGTCTAACGCACAAAACCATTGTAACAGTAGTTTTCATAGATTATGTTAACATACAGCGAAGCAATATAATATGTTACGTGAAGATGAGGAGATTTTAATTTCGTTAACAAGGTGCACTTTTAATAAATTAAAACAGGCCATGACCATGTACGATTATTATATTGATATTATACAGCAGGAAATGCACAAGATGAATCCTAACAACTTCCGTAAATACTTAGCTGCAGATAAACATTACATTTTAAACCTACTGATTTTATTGATTTATACTTGGTTCAACAAATGTATTCGACATTCTACTAAAATAAATACTTAATAATGTGTGATGATTGCATCATCACGGTAGAGTATTTCAAATATTCGCGCTCAAAACGCATTTTACCGGTGGCTCCAAAGCTCTTTGTTTTCGTGAAGACTGTGAATTTTGTCGTGGTCGCGTTTTCAAAATCCCTCACGAGCTCAAGCGCTTTTTCCAAAGAACTTACATAACCGAAAAAAGGATTTTCTTCGTTGACAATATTGTCAATTTTTGGAATATGTAAATCAGATAAAGTATAATCTTCCATGTTGCGAAAGAGTAAGCGCGATGTAATATGTAAATATGCTGAAAATTAATTATTAATAGCTTTAAGTAGACAAGTTAAAGCTAAAGGGCCTGGGCACAAGGTGCTCTACCATATCTGAAATAGCCTTCACCGTAAAACACTGCCCTCCAACTATAGAATAATTTGCATTTTCTGATGAATTTGAAGACGATATTTCCGACCGAGATGAGGACATTTTGAAAAAAAACGACGCAAAACTCGAAAGATTGGCAAAAATATTGATTATTTTAAAAAGCAAATAACTTGTTTTGAATAGAGCCTACGCGTGTGTCCTTACATGACGTCACAGCATGTACTGGATACTAGACTCCATTGGAAAAAATCTTAACATTTAAACCACATTTGCGAAGAAAGCTTTGATCTCATTTTATTTGTTTTTTGAAATTTGAAGTTTTTGAGAACTTCCCTCTCAAATTATAATAAAAGCCTATAAGGTTTCTATGGACTTTAAAGTTCTTGTTTGTATTACTAAACACCAACTAATGTCATATATGATGATACGCTTTTGGGATGATTAGAAATAGACAAATAAGTTAAGTTTAATGTTTATCACTGCAAATTGGTTTTATTTTCATTTCACCTAATGGATGGCTCTTTGTCACGCAAAACAGTAGTTTGTCCGTCATTGTTTAGCACAGTAGGAGTACTCTCAAAATTAGAAAGTTCAACATTATTTACCATAATGGAGCAGTCATGTTTACACCACTTTATCCAGGTGCCTGGTTTAATGCTCTAGGTAATTGAAGTCTAATTTATTAATGACAGATGTTAAAGTTAAAATTTCGGTCATATCTTAAACATACAGATGTACAACACAATTTGATGGCAAACAATTAAGTCTTAATTGCATTCACACACATTTTGTAACCTTGCGATTTTTATTAAGTTGTAGTTATCACACAAAACTAAACAGATTTGCAATCACTCTCATACATGTAACATTAAAAGTTCGCAAATAGTAACCATTTTCAAAGTGAGAATCGTGTCATTAAATAGCACTTTTGAAATGGCTATCGCATACAAATAATGTGGATATAAAGCAATTGAAACACATAGGGTTAAAGTATGGCACATGTTGTTTGGGCCAACAAAGTTCTAGGAAACCTAGGAGTTCTTTTGCGTAACCGAACGCTCAGCTTACAAAAGATTGTGAATTCTTTTAAAGACTTTCCAGTTTTAATGCCACATTGTTATAATCCAGACAATTATGCATAATTTTGAGCTGAAATATGAATATTTAATGACGGTTAACGTTTTGAGAAAATGGCATTTAAAAAGTGAAAAATCCAAAATATCTGTAATTTGGATGCCTAGCGTTCGTGTACAGTTTCACCAAATTTCCAGGAAAGTTTGTAAGCTTGAACAACATGTGCTAAATTTTAACCCAATGTGTTCCAATTGCTTTTTAGCTTTGTCATTTTTGTGCACAAACTATTTCAAAACTACTTCTCGGTAGTACAATTCTCACTCTAAAAATAGTTAATAGTCGCAAAAATTTTCCTGTCAGATGATCCATTCGAAGTAGAATTACCTATTCCATAAAATTTTTTTGCATATCTTGCGCGCTGATAACTTTAGCGACGTTTTTCTATCTGCTCAGTATTTTGAGCGCAATATTCAGCTGGTGAACAAGTTAGAAAAATAGAGATGTAAAAAAATTTTTGAAACCGTTTATTAAGCTTTTATGCTTTGATCGATCTGATAGTAAAGCAAGAAAACAGAAACACAACAGTATCAAACATGCTTTTCATATATAACTTTATTAAATTACTTAGAATGTACGTGAATGCTTAAGTAAATGTAAACTATGCAGAGATCTATAGTATATATGCTTGATTATGTATTATTTATAGAATAATTCGTTATCTGATGTCCACCATTAAACTGTCCTTCCCTGTTCCTTCTTCGTCGAGGTAGAAAATCATTCGCACGTACAATAACACTTTAAAGATGTTGGTTTACGTTGACAAATGTAGTGGAATATAGAACTGCATGATTCATCATTCCATTTTCCTTTGGAAAGAATTGAACACAATGCTCACGATTTGGACTGTTAGGCTCATTGGCAGCCCAATTAGTAAACGTAGGCAGGACATGTTGTAATGTATAAAATTTCTTGTCGTATTTATTACGAAACAAACCAATAAATGGTCTTTGCAGATTTTTTCTTTTGGCAACCCTGTAAATGGCGTTATTCTCAACTAAGTTCTTTGGAAGAGCAAGATATCCTCCCATGTGTCGACATTCGAAAATGGCTTTGCTTCCTGTTGTCTTGGTTGTACTGAAGTAGTAACAAGATTGAAGAAGATAAGTCCAACCAGATGGACATCTGCTTGCTTCGTTTACTAAGACGAGTTAATATAATTACACAAAGGTCAATTAGCACAAAAAATGTTAGCGATTGAAGAAAAAATAGTTTAGCAAATAATACCTTGAAAATTACTCACGACAATGCACAGAAGAAACAGTAACTTGTACATTTTCAACTTGAAATAGTTTTAGGCAAGATTTAAATCACAAATTTGCTATCTAGTGCAGAGAACGTATGCAAATAATTATTTCTCTATGACATGGTCATTTTCTTCAATACGTTGAAGCTCCTTGCTGAAACAGACACTAAATACTTCCAAAGGATTACAAACCCTGCAAATTAATCAAAGAATGAATAGATAATGACAGCTGTACAGCTATTTAAAGCTATACAGAAGTAATCAATGTAAAGATTTGTTTTAAAACGAGAGTCCTACATGTTTTCGTCTTTTTAAAACAATTTTAAACGCAACATGTTATATCATGTGTGTTGACTATTCATTTGATTTATTTGTATTTGCATACTTTTCAAATATTTCATTCTGTTGGCAATGTTATCAATAGATACAGAATACTTTAAGAAATTAAGGCAAGAACGCCTATTTATACATGTTCTGGGCCAAAATATTATATAAAATCTTTAACTTTTGAAAAACTCAAGCATTTCTTGCCTTCTAGGATCAGCAGTATAATAATCCTCTGATTGTTGACGTTTTGACAAGGTTGACGTTTTGCGAAGAGCATTAAATCAAAAATTTCGCCATCTTGTGTAAACATTACAACAACTAGTTTGTTTAAGGAAGGCGAAATTTACAATTTTAGTAAAGTAATGCAGAAACATAGTGTTTTTCACATTTCTAGTGACCAACGTAATTCGTATACATTAAAAATTAACAGCGCTTGACATTGCAATGACTAATCTACCACTCTTCTTGGGACAATTATATTGTACAGTTTATAAAACGGAGATTAACAAAATAGAAGTAGAAAAGTTGTTTTTGCCAGCTCTCAAATGGCACCATTAAACATTCCAGTCTTTCTTAGCCGAGGTACAATGCCATTCACATGTGCTAGGTAAATAAAAAGATTGTACAATTATTGAAAAACAGCTTTGGGATCTGACTACATTAGAACGATGGTTTGAACTCGGAAGTATATCGTTACAAGCTTAATATATATATTGATCAGCCAATTTTGTGCAATCCCGAGAACGACTGCGGGTATTTGGTGTAAGTATTGTCGGACGTTTCGACACCTTGATAGCGGTAGTCATCTTCATCGGCTGTATTGGCGTTGTTTATTCCATTTGCCGCGACTGGGATGATTTAAAGACATTATTTATTACTCAGAATTACGAAACAAATTGCTCTTGTGGAAGTAGCTAATTGCATGTACGTTGTAGATGATAAATATGAAATGATTAATTATCTTACTTGCATGATGTATATCTTGTATGTTTGTCATCTTTTTCAAAAATCCATTTTTCGTTTTGCAAATAAAAGACATTTGATCGTTTGCATTGATTCAATTTGCATTTTAGGTTGATTAACATTCAAATCTGGAGACATCTTGTCAACATAAACACGTGAAAGATATATTGAAGTTGTACATGAACAGTCTTGTGTAAACATGACTGTCGCCTTTCGCTTCAGCCATGGACAAATTAATTACAAAACTGTTCTAACAATTACAAATCGTAACCAATTAATTACAGTTTTTCATTTTTCCATCGATGGCAAGAAAAAGATGTTGCCTAAAATCTTTCAAACTAAGCAATTAGTTGAATGAAAATGATGTCTTCTAAAAGAAATGAGGTGATAACCACAGTGAGTGTAGGATTGTGAGCGAGCTTTTAGAATACGGCCATCGAAGCTAATGACGATTCACTTAAATAAAAGAAAACACAACTTAGAAGAAGCAAGACATCTTGAGACTGCAAAATATGAATCAAAACAAGATGAGAAGTAAACTGTAAATTTTCGACTTTATTTCAAAGTCATCCTCAGACAGAATGGCTTTATTTCAAAGTCATCCTCATCTTCGACTTTATTTCAAAGTCATCCTCAGACAGAGTTTATGCAGTGTTCTTGGTAATCTGTAACTTCTCCTCTAATTGTCTCACGGCGACTAATCTTTTATGTCAACTGACATGAGAAAACCCTGACAACCATTGAGTTTGAAAATGACCTCAAATATACTTTTAAATAAAGTTTCCTGTCCAATTGTCCGTCTACATTGTTGTTTTTTAGGATTTCGTTGACTTCAAGTTCAAACATAGTAGAGGAAAATGATAGTTTTCGAAAATAACATCGACCAGATCTCCTTCAACTTGTCTAATCATATATAATTAACTTAAACTTAGTCGATTTCATTTTTATCTAAGATTTCTGTTAAGAAGTTAATGGTAAAAACAAGTAAAATAGCTTCAAATCATGCCTTTTACGCATTTGTAATTCAAAAGTGAAATTCCAAACCGTATTTTTTTCCGACCACGAAATTCTTCACTTTCGATGGTAAACTGAGATTTCAGCAACATCAACTGTATGAAAAGCATTGTCGTCTATATTCTTTCCGGGTGAAGGTATTGGCCTAAGGTTCTTATATCAAAACACGACTTCCAGAACTGCGTTGTTTTAATAACATGCAAAAGTTATAGACCTATAATGCCTTATTGCAGGTAATTGCAGGGTTAACCCCGGCTATTCTTCTCAACTGCATTACAAGATTTTTCAGTAGAGGTGTAACAACTAAACAATTACTAAGGTACTGAAGAACATTAATTTTCAAACAGAATATGTAATATCTGTTATCGTCAATGTATGTCATGATAAGATTAAGCCTGGACCAGCAGTAATAAAAATCCACTTCTGCTGACATCTTGACATATGCAAGATCTACTTGAAAAAAATAAAAATTGTGAGATGCACCAAGAAGTGGGATGCACCTTTTTGTGGAAACTACCACATAAAAGAAATGCCAAAATGATATCTTGTTTGTTTTTTAAAAATTCTATATAATTGACTGTAAACTATAGATAACAAGCGGAAGGTCGAGAATTTTTTTTTGCAAAGCAGTGATGTCAGTGCAAATACCTCCGTTGCTCGCAGATTTTTTAGCGTTCTCGACCCAGTACAATTAGTCTCTCAAAGTATTATAGAGCTCAATGATTTTATAACGATTAAAATCGATGTTTCTGTGCCATCAACATTATGCATAAATTATAACGTATTATAAGATAAACACAATTAAACGCGTGCACTGATTGGTCTAGAGCTGTGTTTGCATTAGCCTGTGCAAAACACATCTGAGCTCAACCAATCAAATCAATCAAAACAAACAATCAGTCCAAGAGAATTTGCAAATCGACCATCAATACATTTTAGACGGAGGACTGTAGCTGTATTGAGTAAATGATTTTCGCACATTTTTTTAAACGGAGGACTGTAGCTTTCATATATTTACGTATTCAGTAATGTTATTATGTTGATAATAAAATTTATGATTTAAAGCAATTGTGATTGTGACTTTAATTTACATTTATTCATTTGTCTTTTGCTTTTTTACAATGAAGAGCTTTTCTTATAGGAGTCGAAATTTAAAAGACTATAGAGCTTTTGCACTGCGAGGTCATGTTATTTTTGAGTACTCGATTCATCGGCATGCAAGACTGTAAATTTGACATAAAATTACAAAACAAGATTTGTTATAAACTATGCACTGGGAACTGTAAACAGAATCACAAAGATTCCTTATTAGACATTTATATACAGACAGAGATCAACTTGAATTCGCCACGTCATAGTCATAACCCACACTGAGTGCTTTTAAAAAAGCCATTCAATACAAAAATCTTAAATAAAAAAGGAATATTTATTCAATGGCGTAACGTTTCATCTTGACTCTCAAGACATCATCAGACAGTATTAAATGGCAAGTGAGGACTGTGATGTGGTGTGTATTTATATACATATATGTATATATATATAAGTTCAGGAGTCACCATTTTACCATGGTGATAGCCGGGAGGGCACATTGTAATACACTTTGTAAACGAAGATAAATTCTAACCTTCGTATCTCAGTCAATCAAAAGTTCATATTCAGTTTATTTTACATTCCTTATTGAGACAAAATATTACTGCATGATACATTATCTTATAATACGTCATGTTACAAAAATTTTCTTGATCATCCATTAGTTGACATGCACATGCGAAACAACACTTGTAATGAACAGTAGGACTTATTCTATATTCATAGATAGTCTTATTAAGCAAAGGACGACAAAGAGAAAAACATAGGATTCTTTATTTGACGTTCAATTAAAGAACATTTGCAATTCATTTTGCCACGTCGTGACATACATACTGCAGAGGACAATAAACGTTAGACAATAACTCTGCTGAAACAAACACTAACACGTTACTAAAACACAATAATTGCATTGAAAATAAAACGACACAACTAAGAGATAACGAAACCTGTTCATTTATCTTTCATTATAGAAGTATATAGAAAATATCTTATTTTAATAACGGCAGTCAACAACATCATTAATTTATTTTCTTTTTTGAAATCTGTGTTTTTAGTGCTAACTGTAAATCACTTTCAATAATTACTGATTTGACTAGCCAGTGGTTATATTTTTGTCAATGACTGTGTTTTGTTAGTAATTGTCCTTGTATTTCTTTGATATTTCAATCAAATTCCGCCACGTCGTAGTCATGATGCACACAGCAATCGAAGAAAGTGAGTGTTGGAAACTCAACTCTGATATTTTTAGTCAGGGTGAGTATTTTAGTGTTTCACACAACCTATTTATTTCTTTTGTAATCAGTTCAAGGCTTCAGCCAGACCTTCGAAAGCTTGTTTGACAATCAATGAATGTTTGACCGCATTATCTATAAATATGATATCGGATGACGCATTTTTTCCTAAAAAATGTTAAATAGTTCGCTGTTATGGCAAATTTGATTTGTACAGGTATGAGTATTTACATATCGATGACTGATTTTTATCTGTTCGTAAATATAGTAACATCCATCTCAAACACTTCAATTTCGGTCCCGGTCGTATTTTAGTGAATTGAAATTGAAAAAATCCAGTTTATTTATTTCACATGCCATGTTCAGACTTAAGAGGAAGTTACCTTTAGCTAAAATTTGCTTACATGCTATTATTCATTGGTTATGTTATTTTTTAATTACTCCATCGTTCCTTTGATGACAACAAGCAAGAGATGGGGAGTAACAAAAAGAAAAACAAGGATTCTTTGTTTGATGTTTAATTACAGATTGGCCACGTCGTAACCCACTTGTAGTCCCCAAACATATATGCCATGGACCTACTTCGAAAATTGTGATTTTTTCATGCGTCTATCGAGGAAGCAAAGAGTTTTCTAACCATCATTGATCTTGCTGCTGTAGTAGTACTTATATATATATATCAACTTTAGCATGTATGTCAATCGTATAACTTAATATTGCAAATTAATAAGAAAATCGATTATTTTGTCTTGAGTGAATTGTCAGAGAAGGGTGAAATCACTATATCGTTTTTACGTCTTAGCCAATCAAAGCAAAGAGAGTCTTGCTCTCAACCAGTTTTGTAGCGTCTGGGTGAAAGGTCTTTCACTACACTTGGTAAATAAGGGCAAACAACAAGGCTTGCTGAATTTTTATCATTATTATTATTATTATTATTATTATATAGAAAATATCTTATTTTAATAACGGCAGTCAAGAACATCATTAATTTATTTTCTATTTTGAAATCTGTGTTTTTAGTGCTAACTGTAAATCACTTTCAATAATTACTGATTTGACTAGCCAGTGGTTATATTTTTGTCAATGACTGTGTTTTGTTAGTAATTGTCCTTGTATTTCTTTGATATTTCAATCAAATTCCGCCACGTCGTACTCATAATGCACACAGCAATCGAGGAAAGTGAGTGTTGGAAACTCAACTCTGATATTTTTAGTCAGAGTATTTTAGTGTTTCACACAACCTATTTATTTCTTTTAAAATCCGTTCAAGGCTGCAGCCAGACTTTCGAAAGCTTGTTTGACAATCAATGAATGTTTGACCGCATTATCTATAAATATGATGTCGGATGACGCATTTTTTCCTAAAAAATGTTAAATAGTTCGCTATCATGGCCAATTTGATTTGTACTGGCATGTGTATATTTACATATAACTGACTGATTTTTATCTGTTTGTAATTATAGTAACATTTTTATTTCGGTCGTAATTTAATCAATCAAACGTAAAAAAATTCATTTTTTCATGCGTCCATCAAGGAAGCAAAGAATTTTTTAATCATTATGTTGGTGTAGTACTACTTATCAACTTTTAGCATGTATGTCAATCGTATAACTTGTACATTAAAGAGAAAATCGATTATTTTATTTTGAATGTATATTCAGAGAAGGCTGAAGTCATTATTATTTTTTACGTCTTAGCCAATCAAAGTAAAGAAAGTCTTGCCCTCAACCAATTATGTAGCGTCGGGGTGAAAGATCTTTCACTACACTTAGTAAACAAGGGCGAACGACAAGGCTTGCTGAAGTTGCTCACTCGGATGACGAGTTTATTGCGTTGTGCATATCAAAAATAGTGCTAACTCAAAATTAACATCATTTGCACTTGCTTGCTGGTGTATATTTACTTTTTTTACTGCTAAATGAGGAAATCTTTCATGTTATAAGGCGAAATGGTGCAGGAATCCGCTTTAAATTCTGGGGTTAATTAACCACCTTTACGTTGACAATTTGTCTTTCGCTGAAAATGTTCGCTCTTCAGAGTGTTTTGTACCCATAACAGCGATCTTCAAATTCCATTGCAATTGTCAAGGTCAATTTTTCACGGTCCAAATGCTGCAAATAAGACAGAACAGGCAAATAAGAATGAGAGAAAGAAAAACAAAAGTCTTTTAGATTTGACATACCTTCGGGAAATGATATATAAATAGTATAAACTACTCATGTTGTAAGGTTCTGCTCGTTCCTCCATGGACACTTGCTGATGTTATTTCTAGACGACGTTTTGCGATTGGGCCCATAGCCTAATAGTGAGCCTGAGTATTTGACAAGCTGTTTATTTTTCTTTCATTGCAGAAGTATATAATAAAAAACTCATTTTCATACCGGCAGTCTAAATATATCCTTAATTTTATTGTCTTTCTTGGAACCAAGGTTTTGAATGCAAAGTATAGAGGCTTTGCATGAACACGTGACTTACAACTTGTTGATTAGCAACCGTAACTATGGCGCCATGATAGGGGGCATGCAAAACGCACATGGCGTCAAGTCAATAGGAACGAGTGCCATGCCTTCCTAAATATCGTGAAACTTTAAGTGTTGAAGATCGTGTTAAATACGAAGAGAAGTTAAAGTTAATTTGTGGTATCGATCCCTACAATGTTAGTCACAAATTTTTTTCTGACGCGATGGATTTATGGCCCAATGTTGAGTTCCCCGACATTGTGACCTACCTGTTGTTTTCAACAAGTAGGTATACCAAGGAGCAACTGAAAGCTTACAAAAGCTTAGAATCATACCAGTATTTTGTTGCTGGATGGGTGAGGTGTGTGTATGTCGGTAAAGCAAGTACTAACATCAAGATTTTAATCGCAAAGGTTAGTATAATTATTACTTAAAACGTGTTTTTACAATCATTGTCACAATCAGTATGAAAAAAATTTGGTGTTTAATTTATAGGTAAATCATTCGCAAAGCCTGAATGACACTCCTCTAAAACCATGGGCTGCTGTATAACAATGGGTCTGTTATAACAGCACATTGCAACTGTAAAGCTGGACTGGGAGAATGTTGTTCACATGCTGGAGCGTTGCTCTTTGCTGTTGAAACTGGTGTACGAATAGTAAAGAACAGGACTTGTACGTCTATTCCTGTCAGTGGCTAATGCCTAAGACAGTATCAAAGATTACTTATCAAGAACTTTGTGACGTTGATTTTACTTCTTCCAAACGTAAAAAGCAAAAGCTGGATGAACATATCAATGAATTAGCTTCTAGTTCATCATCTACTACCGATCAGACAATGACAACAGACAAGCCTCGTTTGCAAAACAAGTACAAGCCGTCTGAAAATCAAATAAAGAAGTTTTATCAACATCTAAGCGACACTAAAAGTAATCCTGCAATCTTGTCACTGATTTCTCCATTTAACGAAAAATTTGTGCCAAAGAGACCTGCTGTTAACCTTCATGACCCCTTGAATAAGTTGTACTCCCACCAATTTGCTTGTCATGAGTATGAGGAGCTAATTTCGAAATCAAAAGAAGTTATGGAGACAATTAAAATCAATCAACAACAAGCTGATATGATAGAAAAAGCTACACGAAATCAAAGCAAGTCTCAGATTTGGCATCAAATGCGAATGGGGAGAATAACTGCCAGCAACTTCCACAGGGCTTGTCGCACAAATCCTGAAACACCATCACTAAGCCTGGTCAAAGATGTTTGTTATGGTTCACAGTTTAAGTCTGATGCAACATCGTGGGGAAAGGCCAATGAGAAGAGAGCCCTAAATCAATATACACAAGTCAGCATTGACATATTGTTATTTCATGAATTGTTCATCCAGTTAATTAAGTGTTTATTGCTGCAAATTGATTGCACATAAAATTTTTTTTTATGCACTCATAAACCTAATAGCAAACATGTACTCATTTGGCACAAAAATTTAATTTTCTTAATTACATGGGCTTTGCTGTGCAATATATCAAAATAAATAATTAGATACATAAATATATATCTTAATTTTATTTAGGTAATGAAAGAAAATCATAGCATCTTCTCAGTTAAAGAATCTGGATTTGTAATTGATCCAAAGTACCCTTTTCTTGGTGCAAGTCCAGATGCAATCAGTTACTGCAACTGCCATGGTGAAGGATGTGTTGAGATTAAGTGCCCATACAGTTTAAGAAACAAGACTATCCAGCATGGCATAAGTGATGGAAAGAATTTTTGTCTCACTAAGACACCAAATGGTACCTTACAGATGGACAGGAAACACCAATATTACTATCAAGTCCAACTGCAATTAGCCTCCACAAAGTTAAAGTTTGTAGATTTTGTTGTCTGGACTCTAAATGACATTTATATTGAACAAATTCAGAGAGATGACGAATTCCTTGCTGTCAATATTGAAAAAGCAAAAGAAATCTACATTTTTGCAATTTTACCAGAGCTTCTTGCAAAGTTTCACACTTCAAAACCACTTCCATCAAATGACACATTATTGTTTTGCTATTGCAGAGTTAAGCTAGATGACACACTTGTTTTAAAATGTAGTAATGATAAATGTTTGTTTAAAATGTTTAACATGAAGTGCTGTGGTTTATCTCGAAAGCCGGCAGCAAACAAACCATGGTTCTGTGTAGACTGTAGAAAACTTTTGTAGAAAGGGAGAAAATGTAAATAGTTCACTAGCAACTATTTCAGAAGCAACTTCTGAGCCAATTATGCTAAGTTATGATGTTTGCAATATTTATTATTTATCTGTTTCAACATATTTTAGAATAAATTGTTCATGTTTAATGTTGTCGCACTACTCTAAAGAAACTACTGATGGACAACAATTAACTAAAGCACAACATACTGTAGCTATCTTGTCAAGTAAGCAATGTTCACCATCATCTGCTCAAAATAGTCGATTGGAGCTATTCCATGACCAAGAATTGTGTATTTCTGACGAACACTGCCAATAACTCGCTCCACATGTATGCGAACATTAGCTATGGATCTTGTTGTTTCTATCTCTACAGGTGACAGTTGAGCCTTGCCTTTAGTAAAAGCTGGAATCTTAATACTTGCACAGTATAATCCGCACTGTCTGCAATGTTAAATCCTCTGTCTGCTAGAACTAAGTCACCAGGAACCAGCTTGTTTAATATGCCTGAGTGTTCAGTAATAAATTTGTCTGACGCTACCACCCCATGCTTTTGATATAAACGATACTGTACCTTGTGGTGTAATCCCTATCAGAAACTTTGCAGTGTTATGATGTTTATAAGACGACCAAGTATGGGCTCTAGCTAAAAAATCGGAAGGGCGGTCGATAAATACTTCGAAGCAATCGATTATGACAGCACAAGAAGAACACCTTTCTCTAAAACACATTGGAAGTGTCAGTCTTAATTGTTCTCTATCTGGCCAATGAATCAGAAATTTCATGCTTGAAAACATAACATCTATGCAGCTTTGAAACACTCTTGATACAGTGGATGCATGAATGCCAAATCTGTAGCCAAGATCTTGAACAGGTAAGTTTAACCGTAATCGCATTAGAGTCAATAACATTTGTTGAAATCTTGTCAAGGAATTTCGCATTACAAGACCTGGACTTATTAGCTCAAGAATTCCCATAAACACAGCCATATTTGGTAGACCAGTGTAGAATCTAAGCTTTTCATCATCAGTTAGATTTTCGGGCGCCAAAGGATCATTAGTAGAGTTTCGTGTGGTTTTTTCTTGAAGCAAATCGATATCGATTGATAGCAAATCGGTTTGCACTTCGATACTTCGTGTGCTCATATACTCGGTCTGTGTTTCTTGTGATTCTGTATCTAGGTTATCAGCTTCTAAACCTTCTCCCATATCATTATTTATGCCAGAATTACATTCTAGATGATATCTTGGATCAGTTAGATGACGAAAGTGAGGACCATTATCCACCATTTTTTCCGAGGTTGCTTCCACTTGTTGAGTGCTTATAGCTTGCTTTTCTTTGTTCTCTCCAGTTTGCTCAAATTGAAGACGCCTTATTAGGGCTCTTTGACTAGTTCGATGGTGCCTTGTAAGCGAGGAGGTTTTTGATGGCTGACTTACTGAACCAGATAAGTGACCCATGGCGATTGTTGGAGCCCAGTCAGGATGAGTCGTCTCATATACTGTAGCTGGTTTCCCTGAATAAAAATAATAAACCTAGAGCAACACCGTACAATCAACGCTGAAGATGCGTATTTGAAACAGATACAGTTTACCTTGATGGAAATGAAGCGAGCAAACAGTTACATTTTTTTATTTGACCATTAAACACAGCGTCCCGCCGAATGTTTGAAAGCCATTTTCCACGCCGTTGAAGAGAAATCTGTCTGGTTTTTTCACCCTGATGTGTAATCACCTTTGGTAAATTAAAAAATCTGATATTTTTGTCCCTTTCAGAGCGTTTTCCACAGCCTACAACACAGCAAAACTTTCCCATGGCTCGAACGTATTTTGTTTGTTTTTTACATGCCCCCTATCCATTGAGTTCTATAATAACCCCCTATCCATTGAGTTCTATAGAGCTCAATGCCCTTATCATGGCGGCATAGTTACGGTTGCTAATCAAACGCAGTAAGTCACGTGTTCACTAATAAATAATTTTCACTAATTACTCATCTGACTAGTCAGCCTTTATGTAGTTAATAAGTAGAAATGATGAATGGAAAACAACAAAGACTCTTGTTGTTATCACTGAACTGACCACATTTGTAAAGCACCCTGGCCAAACTACAGCTAAAGAAACGACTATCAGGCCTTTGAACAGGGCTACTCGGTTATATTATGTATTAATGGTATTAAATAGTTGCCAATTTGCACAACGAATTTTATAGCAATGCAATCTCATATCTGGCAATATATTATGTAAGTAAATTGTGTTCATTATACGTGTAAATTGTTATACTCACGCTTGAAACGATCCAATAAACACTTTATTGATTGAAGAACGTTATATAAGTCACGCGTGATTTATGTAATTTCGCTGCAATATAGAAATATCCGTATTTTAAAATCGGGCTTACCTTTGCTAGCCTGAGTAACAACAATAGCAAGAGTTGGGCAATCATTACTTTGTTCAAATTTGACATGCATGATCATGAAAGATTTACGATGGAAAATGTAAATTTGTAACACGACGTAAGAACGATGAAGGGAATAACAAAGATTCACGATTCCTTGTCATAAGTTTGTACGTACAAACTTGAATTAGCCTGGTGATGAAATTAAACGAATTTTTTAAAAACAAATAATTTAACTGCATGGTATTTGGCTAACAGTATTTTCAAACACCATCTGCATGCACTGATTGAAAGAGAGGTGCTTATTTGCTCCGTGGTTTGTGAGAAAGTTTATGCAGTACACTTTAATACCAACGAAGATGCGTACAAAAACGCTACAACAACAAATGTAATGTTAATGGTAGTTTTAATGTACTATTTATTAGCTGGCTCGAATGAAAATCTTTACAATTTGTAAACTAGTGAGATCTATATAGTGTTTGCTTTATAATGTATCATAAGTAAAGTATCCTCTAAAACAACGTCCACCATCAAACTGTCCTTTTCTGTTCTTTCTTCGTAGACGAAGAAATTAAATCATTCACAAGTACAAGAGCATTTTAAAAATCGCATGGATTACGTTGACAAATGTAGTGGTAAGAACGATAGCATGGCTCATCATTCCATTTGCCTTTCGGAAAAAATTGGACGCAATTCTCTTTGTTTCCAACATTATTAGGTTCTTTGGGAGACCAATTGATAAACGCAGGCAGGGTATGTTGCATTGTATAAAATTGCTTGTCGTATTTATTACGAAACAAACCAATAAATGGTCTATGCAGATTTTTATTTTTGGCAACACTGTAAATGGCGTTATTCTCAACCAAGTTCTTTGGAAGAGCAAGATATCCTCCCATGCGTTGACATTTAAGAATGGCTTTGCTTCCTGTTGTCTTGGTTGTACTGAAGTAGTAGCAAGATTGACGAAGATAAGTCCAACCAGATGGACATCTACTTGCTTCGTTTACTAAAACGAGTTAATATAATTACACAAAGGTCAATTAGCACAAAAAAATGTTAGCGATTGAAGAGAAAAATAGTGTAGCAAGTAATACCCTGAAAATTATTCACGACAATGCATAGAAGAAACAGTAACTTAAACATTTTCGACTTTAGACACAGCAGTGAAATCTTTTGTGGAAAAACTTAAATCACCAAACACCTTCCAAGACCAGCGAATGTTTGAGTAATCATCGAGAGATATTATATATACGTATTGAGAAACTAAGTCAGAGCTCCTTGCTGAAACAGACACGTAAACTTCCACATGAATACAATACAATACAAAACAAGTCAATAAAGGCAGCATTTTTATCATCACTTACAGAAGTAACTATATTGAGCAAATGATTTTTGCACATTTTTTTTAAACGGAGGACTGTAGCTTTCACACATTCACGTATTCAGTAATGTTATTACGTTGATGATAAAATTTATGATTTAAAGCATTTGTGATTGTGACTCTAATTTACATTTATTAATTTGTCTTTTGCTGTTTTGCAATGAAGAGCTTTTCCTATAGGAGTCGAAATTTAAAAGACTATCGAGCTTTTGAACTGCGAGGTCATGTTATTTTTGAGTACTCGATTCATCGGATGCAAGACTGTAAATTTGACATGAAATTACAAAGCAAGATTTGTTATAAACTATGCACTGGGAACAGTAAACAGAATTACAAAGATTCTTTATTAGACATTTATATACAGGCAGAGATCAACTTGAATTCGCCACGTCATAGTCATAACCCACACTGAACATCGAAGAAAGCGAGTGTTGGAAACTTGTTACTATAATATGTTTTTAATACTATAATATATAGTTAAATATCGATATAATTGGTGTAATGGCAATGTTCATAGAATTATGCAAGTAATAATCGGAAGAAAACAATGGATTTCAAAGGAGCTTAATTTTGTATAAAGCTTGACTTCATAAATATCGCCCAACTGGCAAAAATTACATGAGTTGGCTACACAACTTGTTTTGAGCCATGTATAAGTTCCGTTGTGCTATAGTGCTATATTTATTCTCCTGACGAGTGTGGCAAGTTAAACAACTGCCATACGAAACAGCTCTGTAGGGAACAAATTCCTACGAAGTAATTCGTGGTTTATTTTATTTTCAATTATATATATACATATATATATATATATAAGTTCAGGAGTCACCATTTTACCATGGTGATAGCCGGGAGGGCACATTGTAATACACTTTGTAAACGAAGATAAATTCTAACCTTCGTATCTCAGTCAATCAAATGCTCATATTCAGTTTATTTTACATTCCATATTGAGACAAAATATTATTGCATGATACATCATTGTCTTACAATACGTCATGTTACAAAAGTTTTCTCGATCATTCTATCAGTTGACATGCACATGCGAAACAACACTTGTAATGAACTGTAGGACTTGTTCTATATTCATAGATAGTCTTATTAAGCAAAGGACGACAAAGAGAAAAACATAGGATTCTTTATTTGACGTTCAATTACAGAACATTTGCAATTCATTTTGCCACGTCGTGACATACATACTGCAGAGGACAATAAACGTTAGACAATAACTCTGCTGAAACAAACACTAACACGTTACTAAAACACAATAATTGCATTGAAAATAAAACGACACAACTAAGAGATAACGAAACCTGTTCATTTATCTTTCATTATAGATGTATATAATAAATATCTTATTTTAATAACGGCAGTCAACAACATCATTAATTTATTTTCTTTTTGAAATCTGTGTTTTAGTGCTAACTGTAAATCACTTTCAATAATTACTGATTTGACTAGCCAGTGGTTATATTTTTGTCAATGACTGTGTTTTGTTAGTAATTGTCCTTGTATTTCTTTGATATTTCAATCAAATTCCGCCACGTCGTAGTCATGATGCACACAGCAATCGAAGAAAGTGAGTGTTGGAAACTCAACTCTGATATTTTTAGTCAGGGTGAGTATTTTAGTGTTTCACACAACCTATTTATTTCTTTTGTAATCAGTTCAAGGCTTCAGCCAGACCTTCGAAAGCTTGTTTGACAATCAATGAATGTTTGACCGCATTATCTATAAATATGATATCGGATGACGCATTTTTTCCTAAAAAATGTTAAATAGTTCGCTGTTATGGCAAATTTGATTTGTACAGGTATGAGTATTTACATATCGATGACTGATTTTTATCTGTTCGTAAATATAGTAACATCCATCTCAAACACTTTTATTTCGGTCCCGGTCGTATTTTAGTGAACTGAAATTGAAAAAATCCAGTTTATTTATTTCACATGCCATGTTGAGACTTAAGAGGAAGTTACCTTTAGCTAAAATTTGCTTACATGCTATTATTCATTGGTTATGTTATTTTTTAATTACTCCATCGTTCCTTTGATGACGACAAGCAAGAGATGGGGAGTAACAAAAAGAAAAACAAGGATTCTTTGTTTGATGTTCAATTACAGATTGGCCACGTCGTAACCCACTTGTAGTCCCCAAACATATAGGCCATGGACCTACTTCGAAAATTGTGATTTTTTCATGTGTCCATCGAGGAAGCAGAGACTTTTTTAACTATCATTGATCTTGCTGCTGTAGTAGTACTTATATATATATATATCAACTTTAATTTGCAAGTTATACAATGTCAATAGTATAACTTGCAAATTGATAAGAATATCGATTATTTTATCTTGAATTAATAGTCAGAGAAGGGTGAAATCAATATAATGTTTTTACGTCTTAGCCAATCAAAGCAAAGAGAGTCTTGCCCTCAACCAATTATGTAGCGTCGGGGTGAAAGGTCTTTCACTACACTTGGTAAACAAGGGCAAACGACAAGGCTTGCTGAAGTTTCTCACTCGGATGACGAGTTTATTGCGTTAGGCATATCAAAAATAGTGCTAACTCAAAATTAACATCATTTGCACTTGCTTGTTGGTGTATATTTACTTTTTTTACTGCTAAATGAGGGAAACTTTCATGTTATAAGGCGAAATGGCGCAGGAATCCGCTTTAAATTCCGTGGTTAATTGACCACCTTTACGTTGACAATTTGTCTTTCGCTGAAAATGTTCGCTCTTCAGAGTGTTTTGTACCCATACCAGCGCTCTTCAAATTCCATTGCAATTGTTAAAGTCGGTTTTTCACTGTCCAAATGCTGCAAAGAAGACACAACAGGCAAATAAAAATGAGAGAAAGAAAAACAAAACAATCAACATGAGGACTTTTCAGTTTTGGCGACTTGTAATTCAGTATATGTGAGATTATTTGGTACCAGTTAAATTTATAAGATACATTTCTTTTCACTTTGAATTTATTGCTTGAAATTTACTTCAAATACTACTCAGAATAGTTGTGATTCTACGTGGCGTTTTTTTGTTTCGATAAGATAAGAAATGCACACATATCGTGTGAATTATTTTACAATGTTACTTCAAACTAGCTAGAGCAATTTGTCATTTCAAAATTAAACTATAATTTTATAGATGGTATCTGAGATGTCGTGTTTGCTTTTTATGTTCTGCCATTTGCTGAGCTTTGAGTCCACTTTTTGAAATTTTGAACCTTGCTGTTTATTAACCTTTTTATTTTGTAATTGGGCTGACATGTCCAACATTTGCAGCTATTTTCTGTGCACACGACATCTTTGTTCTAGTTTTGAAATATAGCTAGTTGAGCGTTGTACTTCTGCTGTTTTAGTATACTGTACATACAGTATGACAAAGCTCCAAATCTGTACTCATAATGCATGTAATGACGCATACAGGAAGGCTTCTGTATAAAAATATAGACGACTAAGACGCTCAAAGTCATAACTTTCCACAATTGATAAGGACTAAACGGCTGACTTAGCAATTTTATTAACAAACCGAAGTAGAAAAATATACTAGGAGCATGGTAATGATGATTTTTGGCTCAACCAAGCAGAGACAAAATGCCTTTTTTTCGTTTGCTATGTGAAACCGTAGCGATTTTTTGTTTCAAGACGGCAGACATCGCTCTTCAACAACGCAGTTAAACAAAGCTCATTTTCTCCTTAATGTGCAACTTTTAGATTTGGCATACCTTCGGGAAATGATATATAAATAGTATAAACTACCCATATGAAAGAATGTTTTATGCAGTGCCGTGTTTGAAATTAAATGAAGATATGATCTTCGCACTTTGCTGGACAATTTAAGCAATTGACTCTTGAACTTGGAATTGTCCGTTGAGTCACCTGAATTTTTCAGGTTCAAGAGACAATTGCTTAAATTGTCTAGCAAAGTGCGGAGATCATATCTTCATTTAATAAACTACCCATGTTGTAGAATTCCGCTCGTTCCTCCGTGGACGCATGCTGATGTTATTTCTAAACGACTTTTTGCGATTGGGCCCATAGCCTAATAGTGAGCCTGAGTATTTGACAAGCTGTTTATTTTTCTTTCATTGCAGAAGTATATAATAAAAAACTCATTTTCATACCGGCAGTCTAAATATATCCTTAATTTTATTGTCTTTCTTGGAACCAAGGTTTTGAATGCAAAATATAAATCATTTTCACTAATTACTCATTTGACTAGTCAGCCTTTATATAGTTAATAAGTAGAAATGATGAATGGAACAACAAAGACTCTTGTTTTTATTACTGAACTGACCACATTTGTATAGCACCCTAGCCAAACTACAGCTAAAGAAACGACTATCAGGCCTTTAAACAGGGCTACTCGGTTATATTGTGTATTAATGGCATTAAATATTTGCCAATTTGCACAACGAATTTTATAGCAATGCAATCTCATAACTGGCAATATATTATGTAAGTAAATTGCGTTCATTATACGTGTAAATAGTTATACTCACGCTTGAAACGATCCAATAAACACTTTATTGATTGAAGAACTTTGTATAAGTCACGTGTGATTTTGTAATTTCGCTGCAATATAGAAATATCCGTATTTTAAAATCGGGCTTACCTTTGCTAGCCTAAGCAAGGGTTGTCAAAAATTAATTGAGTTTCAATTAATTGCAATTATTTGTAACCAATTAATTGATTGGATAAAGCATCAATTAAAATTAATTGATTGGGCGCACCTCCAATTAAAATTAATTGATTGGCATTAATTGATTGTATTTGTATTCTTGTTAGATTTCTAAATTTGTTTTTTTTGTAGGCCTACACTTTCGAAAAACTCGAATTATGCCATGTTGACATTACATTTTTTATTTTCTTCTTCGCTTTTTCATTCTTAATGGGAATCCGAAAACTTATAGAACCTAAATGTGTGGCCTATGACATAGAGAAAAAAGTTAAATATATTTACTGTTGCTATACCTATTGCTATTGCCTGTACAATAGACCTACCTATTTCTATACGATATTAGCGTTGGTGTGCGTTCTAGTACTAAAAAGATATGTAGACAAAGTATACAAGGGTTGTCAAAAATTAATCGAGTTTCAATTAATTGCAATTATTTGTAACCAATTAATTGATTGGACAAAGCATCAATTAAAATTAATTGATTGGGCAAAACTCCCACTTTCAATTAATTGATTGGGCAGACCAATTTAATTGCAATCAATTATTGACAACCCCTGAGCCTGAGTAACAACAATAGCAAGAGTTGGGCAATCATTACTTTGTTCAACTTTGACATGCATGGTCATGAAAGATTTGCGATGGAAAATGTAAATTTATAACACGACGTAAGAACGATGAAGGGAATAACAAAGATTCACGATTCCTTGTCATAAGTTTGTACGTACAAACAAACTTGAATTAGCTTGGTGATGAAATTAACGAATTTTTTAAAAACAAATAGTTTGCCTGCATGGTATTTGGCTAACAGTATTTTAAACAGAAAGCTCTTACAAACACCATCTGCATGCACTGATTGAAAGAGAGGTGCTTATTTGTTCCGTGGTTTGTGAGAAAGTTTATGCAGTACACTTTAATACCAACGAAGATGCGTAGAAAAACGCTACAACAACAAATGTAATTTTAATGGTAATTTTAATGTACTATTTATTAGCGGGCTCGAATGAAAATCTTTACAATATGTAAACTAGTGAGATCTATATAGTGTTTGCTTAATAATGTACCATAAGTAAACTATCCTCTAAAACAACGTCCACCATCAAACTGTCCTTTCCTGTTCTTTCTTCGTAGACGAAGAAATTAAATCATTCACAAGTACAAAATCGCATGGATTACGTTGACAAATGTAGTGGTAAGAACGATAGCATGGCTCATCAAGAGTCAGCATGGCATCGGAAAAAATTGGACACAATTCTATCATTTTCCAAGATTTTTAAGTTCTCTGGGATACCAATTAACAAACGCAGGTAGGGCATGTTGCATTGTATAAAATCGCTTGTCGTATTTATTACGAAACAAATCAATAAAAGGTCTTTGCAGATTTTTTCTTTTGGCAACCCTGTAAATGACGTTATTCTCAACCAAGTTCTTTGGAAGAGCAAGATATGCTCCCATGCGTTGACATTCAAGAATGGCTTTGCTTCCTGTTGTCTTGGTTGTACTAAAGTAGTAGCAAGATTGAAGAAGATAAGTCCAACCATATGGACATTTACTTGCTTCGTTTACTAAAACGAGTTAATATAATTACACAAAGGTCAATTAGCACAAAAAAATGTTAGCGATTAAAGAAAAAAATAATGTAGAAACTAATACCTTGAAAATTATTCACGACAATGCATAGAAGAAACAGTAACTTAAGCATTTTCGACTTTAGACACAGCAGTGAAATCTTTTGTGGAAAGACTTAAATCACCAAACACCTACCAAGACCAGCTAATGTTTGAGTAATCATTGAGAGATATAATATATACGTATTGAGAAACTAAGTCAGAGCTCCTTGCTGAAACAGACACGTAAACTTCCACATGAATACATCACAATACAAAACAAGTCAATAAAAGCAGTATTCTTATCATCACTTACAGAAGTAACTATATCGAGCAAATGATTTTTGCACATTTTTTATAAACGGAGGACTGTAGCTTTCATATATTTACGTATTCAGTAATGTTATTATGTTGATAATAATAAAGTACCAAGTAAACTGAGGGTTTCATAATATTTTTGAATCATCCCTGTAAATTTTCAAGCCACCAACGCAATTCAGTCTTAGCTTTCTTAGAAATAATCATGGAGGCTTGGTAGTTCTCCTTATTTTTCGATAATGCTATGGTTTTATGTTTTTCAAGTTTGCAATAGTTAAGTGGTCCATATTCTACAGCAGGAAAACTTGATACTATATGGCCTAATACTTGGGCAACAGATCTTTTGTCAATTGCTCCAGAGGTCAGCAATGTTGTAATAAGGGTCATAAGTTTGCCTTTTTTCTCAGTTGTGAGTCGTACTGTCATTGTTTGTGAATTGATTAGAAATTCATTCCCAAACAGCAAAGGTCCAACTTTGTGGGCCCGTGAACAAAGTGGTTTGTAATCAGGATATGGGATAGGGCGAATAGCCTCTTTACGTTTATAAGAGAGCTCGTTGCACTAATGGCTAAATAGTGCTGTAGTATCAAGCAATTGTGGATTATCGATTTGTAATCCGTATTATCTATGTCAATGTCGTCATCTATCTCCTGAAATTCTGCCCCATGAAATTATACTCGACGTGTCAGAAGTCTCATCAGGTTATTCGTCAGATTCTTTCATGTTATGATTAACATCTAAAGCATTTTGCTCTATTATTAACGTGTCATTGCTCTCAACTTTGTGCCCAGAATTTGGGGCGGACTTTG